AAGTGTCCGGCTGATACTCGTATATGGGGGGGCGTTGCGCTAGCCCTTGGGTGGACTCGCCCCTGCTTGTAATGCCAAAGTAATAGCAACTAGCAACAATAATATTGCATGCAGATCCCCACATTAACAAATAATTATTAATGTAGTAAAAAGTTTTCGCAGATTGAGACATAATTTTATTTTCGCACGATCAAATATATATATATATATATATTGATGATGCTAAAATATAGCTCACCTAGGGTGATGTAGAAAATGAGCTGGGAGAGCAAAGCAGATCAGTAGCTTGACAACTTGATGATCCTGAGGTCCCTGCAAAATGAGCACACGTGAACTACGCCGGGGGTTGATCCGGCGGAAACCCCTCCGACGCTCAAGTCAGACATGCTGATCATAGAAATAGTCCAGAGAATACATATTATAGTATTGCTCAGTTAATAGGACGTACCTTAATAAAATGAGTAAAACCTCTATTTATATGTCGTTTATTGGGTTGGGTTTGCTTTGTTGGGCCCAAACCTTACTTGAAGGTGTTTGGGCCTCGGTGATATTAGTCTTCGATATTGGGCTCGTAGCCCAGTAGGTAAAGAAATTGTAGGCCCATTGGGTTGGCCCAATTAGGCATATCATTAAGCCCCCCACTCTCGAGTCGATGTGGGGGCCATGTTGTGATGGGTCTCAAATCGTGTCGAGAGTAAAAATTGTAGAAGTCGATCGTTGGCGTATGGCCTAAATGGTATGCGAAAACGCGTTGGAGCGTGTGTCGGAGGGGCGTGAATGCGCGTTGGCGCATAGCGCGACAAGGTCGTCGCGATGTAAGTTAATTGAGTCGTCGGTTTTGTCCCGCGACGATGTAGTAGCGAATTATCTCCTCGTGGGAGTTGTCTTGTCGCGGGGTAATAGTGCTGATCGAGTTATCTCCTCGTGGGAGTAGTCTCGCGATAATGTAGTAGCACGGATCAAGTAATCTCCTCGTGGCAGTTGTCTATGGGGTAATCGAGTTGATCGAGTTACGTCCTCGTGGAAGT